CACAATTTATTTTTTTCTATGTCATGTGAAATCTTCTCTTAGAAATACACATTTAATAGTAGCTTAAGTTAGGATGCAGATGTCGATCTATGTTTATCAAAATCAGTAATATCTGTAATTATTTTAGCAACCTAATTTTAATATAGTGAAATATAATTATTCTGACTGTTTGAGTTATTTTTTTTTTATTGACCACTGGTCTTCCATAGTAGCATACATTTAGATCATGATAATCACAGTTAAAACCACAAATATAGCATGTAATATGGTTTTTAGGTATTTGTATGAAAAACAGTAGCTAGTCTAAATAAATTTAGTATAAATGCATAAACGCTATAGCTTAATCACAAAAATAAATACTGTAATTATATTCCATTAATCCTCCTCCAATACATTTAAAACGTCTTCATTAATAATATAAATTAAGACACAAATACCCACATTTCTGACACAATACCATGGTGCAGTTAGTGCTACTACAGTAAATCTATGGTAAATGGCAATTTGTAGATTAAAAAGTCTTCTAACTGTATCGTTGCGCACAGTGTTTCTCCTGTTTGTCAGCGCTGTATCATCTGGCTGTAAACAGAGTTATTTGTGTTCTTCGCTGAATGCAAGTGCTTCACACTGGATCTCACAGCACCGTTTGGTCGAGACTCATCAGCGAGTGAACGCATCTGCTCTAGTGACGCTCGCGCCACGCCGCCATTTAAACTTTGATCCGAGCGGATAAACGATCCGAGAGGCGCGCTTCAAATGAGTTGCGCTCTTTCGTTCTGCCTTTGCCTCATAAACATTGTATCAAAAATTTATCGATCTCTTGTTATTGTCTATCGAGGAAATTTATAACGCGCGATAATTATCGTTATCGATTTATCGCCCAGCCCTAGAACTTGTGTATATAACCTCTTTAATCATTTTTGAAAAAACATTCTAATTTTAGCCATGATACAACTTAAACAATGTTGACAGTTAAATAAAGAAAACCTGAGGTTAACTCATCTTGTGTAGGTGAGTGGTGCCCGGTGCCAGGAAGTGGCTCTGCTGATGGGTCTGAGTGGGCGCGATAGCTGTGCCCACCTGGCGAGGATCCTTACAGAGCTGTTGGTTGAACTGGACGCCCTGGATGTGTCTAGTAATGCTGCAGTGAGGAACTACAGAAAACAAGTGGTGGAGGAGATCAACGGTCTGCTAAAACATCTTGACCTGGAGGGAGAAGGAGAGGACACACGCAGGTAACGCATGAACACACAAACTACAGTATGCAGCACCACTGAAATTCTGTTTAGTGTTTACTTATGAGACATTCAAGTAGTCTTATTTAAGGGAGAAATTTGAAAATATAAATTAGAATTTTTTTGTTAAAAGATAAACATTTTTATATACAAAAGTTTTAAATAATAGATTTTTTTTTTTTGAAAGAAGTGAATAAATGTATTACTTTCAGGTATTACAAGTATTAAAATTTTACAAACATTACCATTCAAAACAAGTTTGGGTATCATTCCACAAAAATATTAAGCTGCAAGTTTTTTTCAACATTAATAAATAACAAAAATGTTTCTTGAGCATCAATGATTAAGAAACATTTCAAATATCAAGAAAACATTTTTATTGTTATGAATGCTAAAAACAGTTGCTGCTGAATAATTTTGTGGAATTCATGTAATTTTTTTCTGTTATTTTTCAGGATTCATAATTTTTTTTTTTTTAAGGAAGTCCTTTGTAACACCTTTCCCCCCCATTTTTAAATATATTAAATAATGTATACAGTATATTTCATTTAAATGATTATTATTATTTATACTCAAAATTGAACTTGTATGTGATCATTAGTTATTTTAATGGATTATTAGTTACTTAACCTATATTAATGAAGTTAACTCACTGTATCTCCAGGTATGATCTAGCGCAGAATGACTCGATCCGTGAAATTGAAGCGATCAGGGGCCGCGTCTCAGTGCTGCGGGAGGAGGTGCTCCGGCACGGTGCTGCAGGACAGGGGACGGAGCTGCAAGGTCTCCTCACGCACCTGGATCAGGTGGACACGGGGCGAAATCCCTGCATCCGGGAGGCACGGCGTGTTTTTTTCAGGATTCATAATTTTTTTTTTTTTTTTAAGGAAGTCCTTTGTAACACCTTTCCCCCCCCATTTTTAAATATATTAAATAATGTATACAGTATATTTCATTGAAATGATTATTATTATTTATACTCAAAATTGAACTTGTATGTGATCATTAGTTATTTTAATGGATTATTAGTTACTTAACCTATATTAATGAAGTTAACTCACTGTATCTCCAGGTATGATCTAGCGCAGAATGACTCGATCCGTGAAATTGAAGCGATCAGGGGCCGCGTCTCAGTGCTGCGGGAGGAGGTGCTCCGGCACGGTGCTGCAGGACAGGGGACGGAGCTGCAAGGTCTCCTCACGCACCTGGATCAGGTGGACACGGGGCGAAATCCCTGCATCCGGGAGGCACGGCGCAGGGCCGTGCTGGAAGTTCAGGCGCTCATCACCTTCCTAGACCTCTGGGAAGCCCTTGGACGGCGTAACCCCGTATCAGACGAGCCTCCGCCTCATGCAGCCGTGTGGCGTGTCTTAGCCAGCCTGTGTGACCTGCAGGCTCAGGCTTTGGGCTTTGACGGCAAGAGGGCTGACAAGAGCTACATGGTATTAGAGGAGCTACTGACCAAACAACTTCTGGCTCTTGATGCTGTGGACCCTCAGGGTGACCAGGGGACCAAAAATGCCCGTAAGCAAGCTGTTAAACATGCCCAGAATATCCTTAGTTACCTGGATATGAAGACAGATGAGTGGGAGTACTGAGAGGCCCATAAAAGAGACTGGGAATAAGGAGCTGCAAGGAAAAAGGCAAATGTTTTTTTGCCTCTTGTGCGACATATGAGGACACGGTCGTGGGCGGAATTTATAATTTGTATATAAAAGACTGTGTATCGCCGTGGGCAGCGAGACTGTTACCCATGATGCACTGCACCTGCTGCTTTTATTGGTCCATTACTGGTCCCTGAAAGCTGCCTTTCTCCTGGCAGAAGGAAACATGGTTTCTACTGCATACGAAGCGTTTGTTTTCATGACAATAACCCATTTTTCAGGATTCATAATTTTTTTTTTTTTAAGGAAGTCCTTTGTAACACCTTTCCCCCCCATTTTTAAATATATTAAATAATGTATACAGTATATTTCATTTAAATGATTATTATTATTTATACTCAAAATTGAACTTGTATGTGATCATTAGTTATTTTAATGGATTATTAGTTACTTAACCTATATTAATGAAGTTAACTCACTGTATCTCCAGGTATGATCTAGCGCAGAATGACTCGATCCGTGAAATTGAAGCGATCAGGGGCCGCGTCTCAGTGCTGCGGGAGGAGGTGCTTCGGCACGGTGCTGCAGGACAGGGGACGGAGCTGCAAGGTCTCCTCACGCACCTGGATCAGGTGGACACGGGGCGAAATCCCTGCATCCGGGAGGCACGGCGCAGGGCCGTGCTGGAAGTTCAGGCGCTCATCACCTTCCTAGACCTCTGGGAAGCCCTTGGACGGCGTAACCCCGTATCAGACGAGCCTCCGCCTCATGCAGCCGTGTGGCGTGTCTTAGCCAGCCTGTGTGACCTGCAGGCTCAGGCTTTGGGCTTTGACGGCAAGAGGGCTGACAAGAGCTACATGGTATTAGAGGAGCTACTGACCAAACAACTTCTGGCTCTTGATGCTGTGGACCCTCAGGGTGACCAGGGGACCAAAAATGCCCGTAAGCAAGCTGTTAAACATGCCCAGAATATCCTTAGTTACCTGGATATGAAGACAGATGAGTGGGAGTACTGAGAGGCCCATAAAAGAGACTGGGAATAAGGAGCTGCAAGGAAAAAGGCAAATGTTTTTTTGTCTCTTGTGCGACATATGAGGACACGGTCGTGCCGAGGATACAGGCCATGGGCGGAATTTATAATTTGTATATAAAAGACTGTGTATCGCCGTGGGCAGCGAGACTGTTACCCATGATGCACTGCACCTGCTGCTTTTATTGGTCCATTACTGGTCCCTGAAAGCTGCCTTTCTCCTGGCAGAAGGAAACATGGTTTCTACTGCATATGAAGCGTTTGTTTTCATGACAATAACCCATGATCTTTTTAGTTGAATCTGTGCTGTTGATTGGTGTGGTGTGGTGCTAAACTCTGTTTGGCTGCCAAAATCTGCTTCTTGCTTTTTCCCACATGCCCGGATGGAGCACATTTCAGTCTTTATCGCGGTGTGAGTACATCAGCTCTATAAACAACTGACCCAAAGGGAACAATATTTTAGCATTTCCTTGTATCTTCTACATATATGTCCCAGTTTATGTTAAAGGGATAGTTCACCCCAAAATAAAAATTCTGTCATTCATTTTATAATAGATTTGAGTGAATAAACATTGGTTTGTGACATCAGTTTAAAGGTGAAGTGTAATTTCTGTGCCATTTGTGTCAACAAATGGACAGTGTTTATACACTTTTTAGGGTATTTAACATGAAATGACACACTTCACCTTTAAAGAAGACTCAATGACAGCTAAAAAAATCAATCAGATTTATAAACCTTCCTGCAGTTTTGTCAGATTTCATAGAGGACTGTGACCAAAATGCAATGAGGTATTGTCTTTGGAGACGTTTCTTTTTACTGTGGAGGACAAAGAATAGAAACTAGTTCACAGGGTTTCTTGTCTTCTCCATTGGTTTTTTGCTGTTAGGCAAAAAGTGCCTGTGCAAGCGACTAGGGAATCAAGCAGAGACTGAAAGTGTGTGTGTCTGTGATTGTTAAAAAAAAACAAAAAGTGGTGCGTGCTATTTTGGTGGTGAGACTGATCAAAGTGGACAGGGGCGTTCTAGGACATTTTCATCGGAGCGGCAGGGAAAGACAGCAAGCTATCAAACAAACTCAAACACTGTGGCTACATTCACACAGATCAATGTGACCCAAATCTGATTTTTTTTTTTTTTTGTTCTGTTACAAATGATAGATCTGTGGTTTTGGGATGACAGTACTATGAACCAATATAGATTTCGTTTACTTTCATATGTGGGTATAAAATCGGATAAAGTGAGTCCCCATGTGACTTTAGTGTGAATTTAGAGGGTTTTCATCATATTTGCACATTGGATTTACCCTTGGTTTGACTCAAACAAATGTATGAATTACACTATAAAAGTACTACACATAAAGGTGCAACAGTATATTTTCTTATTCTGTTTCTTTACCGTTTACTCTCAAATATTGTGGAGCTTGGTTTGCCTTTGAACTCTTAACTATTATTTGGCACCACTGTGGATTTTTCATTGGCCAACATGAATAGTTATCTAGAGAGCAGATAACTATTAGCCCATGGGAAATATATAATAATACAATAAGGCAATAGAGTGCAACAGTGGTGTTCCAGATGTAAAAATCATATTCATTTTCTCCATAGAGAAATTGATTTAAATGATAACTTGCTACTGTGAACTACATGGTGGTTAATCAATGGTATGTGCTTTTCTTGAAGCATATTTCATTACTTCAACTTGTTTTTTAAAAACAATAGTGCTGTCAAACGATTAATCGCGATTAATCACATCCAAAATAAAAGTTCTTGTTTACATAATATATGTGTGTGTACTGTGTATATTTATTATGTGTATATATAAATACACACATGCATGTATATATTTCAGATTTTTTTTTTTGTATATATTAAATATAGTTATTTATAATATAAATTATATGAATATAAATATAGACGTGCATACATGTAAATATTTTCAAAATATATACTGTATTTGTGTATTTATATATACATAATATACACAGAACACACACATTATGCAAACAAAAACTTTTATTTTGGATGCGATTAATCGCGATTAATCATTTGACAGCACTAAAAAATAATCATGTTCAACAGCTGATGAAAACTACATTACCCATGATTCTGCAAAGAAATCTCCACCAGCTAGAGAATTGCTCCCATGAAGCACAGCAAATGAGGTAGGGTCAGTTTCCCTATGCTATCAAACAACATTTGTATACATATTTAAATGAATAATTGTATATTTCTTCGTCATTTGTGATTCGATCCTGTCATTCACATTGCTGCATGGGACTCTAGTTATTTCCACTCATTAAAACTGATGGAAGACTTTCTAAAAAAATCTCTATGGGAAATATGAATGGAAAAAATACTTCTGGAACCAAGGCTGCTGTAAAACTGTTGCACTTCATTAAGATCACACTGAAATTAAACAAACATTTATGTACACACTTTTTTTTTGTTTCACTAAAATATATAAAAAAAGATGATAGTATGCATTATCCATTGACAAGGTTGTTTGTTGATTTGTGGAAGCAACATAAGGGATGCCAAAGAGGCATATACAGTATATTGAAATAATAAAAACCTGACAATATAAGTTAAATGTTCTAATTTAATATAATAAAATATTACATTTTATTATGTAAGTTGTTAAAAACATGTCAGGGTCAGCATGCATAACACAGCAGTGGCGTTTTGGAACAAATCGCTTGAGTGAATAATTCAATGACTCACTCCTAAAGATAGTGACTTTGTTATTCTTGAATGAATCTGTTTTTTAATTCATCATTTGAGCATTGCCTGTTTAGAGCAGTGTTTGCTATGGGCCGCATTTAAAAGGTTGTGTGAACAACTTTTCGGAAAAAAAACGTACTTCATTTGAAAAATTAATTGGGCACTTTGGCTTGCAGTGTGAAATGGTCTGTTAAAACCCCTCAGTGACTATTGTAGAATAATGTAGGCGTAACTTGTCTGTGGTTAAAACCGCAGGAGTATCCAGTTCCACTGTTTAAAAATGAATCACAGAGGCCAGGTGATCGCCATACAACTTTCCCAGCACTAATGAGGAGTCGAATTTTGGGAAATAATATATTGTGTCATCTGCATCATGCTGTGCTGTCGAGTCTCTCACTGTTCATTTGAGCTATCGGTAGGTTACAATGGCTTGTTTTGAACTAGAACAGTAACAGTCCTCCATTAGCTGTTTATTTCGGTCGTGTCCCACTTGTTGTGTGGTCACTACCCTCTGTCCTGCTCCAGATAAACTGACTTGTCAGTAGTCATGAAGCAACACCACAGTTATCATCAAAGAAATCAAGCTGTGCTTGGATTATCAAAGGGCATTCTTGTTGAAAAATGACAATACCGATGCAGGGCCTAGAAGTTGTAAGTGGTGCTGGGAAAGAAAGGAAAAGCAATAGGTTGTGGTCAGAACAGATTAATCCAGACTCTGTCATGAGACGGCCATTGTCTGGAAAAGTCCCTGCGGTGGGCAGAGCTGGCAGTTCAGCTCAGGAGGATCCCACATCAGTCAAGGTGAAATACACGCTCCAGCAGCACTTTAAAACAACCTTGCACTAGGCGTTGCACTAGACCTCTTCTAAACCCACATAGAGATGGCAAAGATGTGAGCTAATATTAGCACTGTCAGTTCTGCACGACCAGACTTTTACTGTTTGAGAGGATTATGCTTTTTTCAAGCACAACACTGCAGGTAAATATGGTTGACGCTCCTCATGAAATCCTTGTGATGTAATTTGTTATCGCAGTGGAACTGCTAATTATACACGTAGATTGTGCTAGAAAATGGCAGGAATGTATCTCATTTGCAAATGTTGATACCTGTCTCCACTGCAGTTTTCTGCCTTGAGGTCACCAGAGATTTTGAGCAATGAGGGGCTGTTCACACAAGATGTATCCTTGTTTTCAATAGCAGCTAGATGGAAAACAAAATGGGGCAAAATGCTGGGGTTTTCAAAGCTGAACTATGAACATGACACAGCATCTTCAAAAATGCGGGGGAAAAAACAATGTAAAATTTATTGTTTTTCTCAAAGTTGTCTTCCGTTTGGTGAGTGAAATCGAAGAAGAAAAAGAGTCGAGGTTCAGTTGATTGGTTTTTGATTGGATGGAGGCAGATGTGCTGAATGGAAAGGGGCATGGTTTAAAAACAATAAATTATTTGAGAAGAGGTCAATACAAATTTCAAAATTACATTTCATGGATTGATTGTTCATAATTAGATCATTAAGATGCATTTAGAAAATAGAAAGGGTGGGTGAATGTATTCATTTCAGTTGGGTGCGTGGGTCACAGACCAAAAGAAGGTTGGAAACCTCTTCCAAAAATTTGGTGCAAAACTGCATTTCTGTTGACGCCGGATAACTAAAATGTCCCAGATTTTAACATTTCTAGTCACTCTCCCAACAACAGATAATAACAACAAACAGGTTAAAACAGTTGCCATTTGTATTTCATCTTCAAAGCCACAAAATGCTCCATTTAAATTCTGTTCACATTCAAAATCATTTAGGAGATTCAATTACAATTTGTAAAGGTGGTGTCTATTTACACTGTTTGCAAAGGTTATTACAAACTATAATGCATTATAATGCCCAGAATTGCTTAGATATTTTATGTGTAGTTTGCATATTTACATCTATTTAACCTTCTTGTGAATACAGTAACATCACTATTTGAACTTAGTGTAAACAAGATGCTATTTGTTGCTATTTATACTTGGTGCAAACTGTATCTAACACTATTTTCACTCAGTGAAATTGGGATCTTCCTTTTGTTTTACACTCAGTCTAGTCGCTGCCACATTTGAATGTAGTTTTCACTCCCAAAACTTCGCTGTCTTCATGGCCACACTAAGAAAGATTTGTAAACATAGGGCACAATGTACTGTGTTATTATGAAGGAATTATTTTACAGGGGTTTTACCTGTATTTTGAATTACTTATTACACTGTGTTCTGTTTTAGGTTTAAAGGAAATTGAATCCTAACAGATAATGCTGTTTACCTGACAGAAAATCACCAGTACCTTTTCAGTTTTTTCTACTCATGCACATTGTGGCCACATCTTGAGCTTTAGATCAGTTCATAAAGTTTGATATGGGTATCCAATGCTATCTCATGACCAATTCGTACATATTTTACAAGGTAGCTAATTCGTACGACCTCATTTGTTTGATTTGTCTAGACCCCATTGATGGGTAAAGTGTAGGGACAGGATTAGGGGTAGGTCGTTCGTATGAAAATATGTACAATTTAGCAGAAAACGTACGAATGAGGTCATACGAATTTGAAAAATATGTACAAATTGCCATGAGATCGGTTTGGGGTATTAGACATGGCACAGTCCAAGTTCTCTGTCAGATCTGAGTCACACTGATATCTGCAAAACTATCTCCATGGCTACCATCACAAATCAAATCCATTCTGATTGTTGAATGACACTCAATAGCAAATTATGGCACTTTATAGGTCAACGAGTCCTCTAGGAATATTAGAGATTCTTTTGTTCATTTATGCTTGTTTAAAAAAGAGCACATCACGTTCAAACTGCTGTGTGGATGCTTTGGTCAGCGGCGTGGTTTGATTTTTACATGTTTAGATTGCTAAATAAAAGATGGTGATCTGAAAATAACTTATGTTTGTGGCAAGGTATTAATTATGGCCTGGGATCTTTCAACCTGTTTCCATAGCAACCCCTCGCTGTGCTCACAAAATAGGTGTTCAAAAAAAGAATTGGGTTTGCCTAAAATGCAGAGCGTAGAAAATACCCCTATATTTCTGCCTAAACTGATGGAGTTATGATTCAACAATAGCATATCTGTCAACAGATTTCAGCATCACAAGCCTGTAAATCTGTGACTAGATATATTGAGCTTTATAATTGGCTTATTTTAAAATGTACAACTGGACAAATTAATATTCATTTTCTAATAAATGCAACTGGTAACCTAATACAAATATCACAACTTGATGTTAATGCAGTAGCACGACTGCCTCTAATGCAAATTCTGAAATTTATATAATAAATATTAAATATGTATATAAAGTCAGTTTTGGTTCAGTTAAAGCATACTTCCTGAAAAAAGTATTAACCCCCAGATTCCAGATTTTCAAATAGTTGTATCTCAGCCAAATATTGTCCTATCCTACCAAACCATACATCAGTGGAAAGCTTATTTATTCAACTTTCACATATGTGTTATATAACTTCTGGGCAGTAGTAAAAAAAAAAAACATTTTTTAATGAGTTCTTGTTTTAAAATGCTACTGACTCTGCAGGGTATATGCAAAATGACAGGCGTAGATGAAAGTTGTTTCTGCCCACATCAAATCACATTCTTAGCTGTTAGTGG